AGGGTGCTGGGGCACTGCCCAGGCTCCCCAGGGCAGTGGGCACGGCCCCAAGGCTGCCAGAGCTCCAGGAGGGTTTGGCTGATCCTCTGGGGCACAGGGTGTGACTCCGGGGGATGGGCCTGTGCAGGACCAGGAGTTGGATTCAATGATCCTTGTGAGTCCCTTCCAACTCAGCCTATTCTGTGATTCTGTGACTCTGAGGTGGTTCCTCTTCTACTCCTGAAGTGACCCCCTTGGTCCCCTTTCCCGTCCCACCAGCCCCAGGACCAGCCTGACCCCACACAAGGCCATCCCAGCCCTTGGCTGAGCTGCCATCACTGTCCCCACGAGGCCAAGGCCACCCCGGTGTCCCTTGCCCCTGGCTGGGGCCCCCCTGTCCTCGTGTCCCCCACAACGGGGCTGCTGCACCTCCCCCAATCCCACCGTGTCCCTCTGCCAGGCTCGGTGCCCACCCTGCTCCCGTGCCAGCCCCGGCTTTCCCAGCATGGGCTGGCACTGGGAGGCTGTGGGGTGGTGGAAGCAAAGCAATGCCTCCATCTGCTGGAGAAAAGGGCCCTGGGCCAGTTCCAGCCTCTTCACCCCAAAATTCCATCCCCCACTGCTCCCCGGGGCCGGGGAGGCTCCCAGCACCCACCTCATGGGCAGAGGGAGGGTGGCCCTGGTTGCAAAATGAGCAGGATGCTGCAGCCCCCACAGGCTGGGCAGGAGAGAAAAGAGGAAATTGGGGGTTTTTGCTCATTTCCTGCTTGTACCAAAGTCCTGCCTGGCACAGGAGTGCCCAGGAGGTGAAGGGTTGGGGTTACAGTTCATGCCTGTGCCCAAGGGTTTGGGGGCACCGTGGCCTCGGGGACACCCCTGGGAGTTAGGACTCACTCCTTCAGCAGTTTTTGGGAATGAGCTGCCAGGATGGAAGATGCTGAGAGATGGTTTCAGTGCCCACAGTGCCCACACAGCCCAGCAGTGCCACAGGGATCACCCTGAACTGGGCACAGAGCATCCCCACAGCAGCCATGGGTTGGGAATAATGTCATGGAAACAACCACCACAAGATAAAGGCCATTAGGAAAATGTAATTTTCCAGCCGGTGCCTTTAAAGGTCCCATTTCCTTCTGGGAAGAGAAACCAATTTCCTTAGGAATCAAAGAGTCTGTGGTTCCCTGTGAGGGTGAGGAGGCCCTGGCCCAGGTTGCCCCGAGAAGCTGTGGCTGCCCCATCCCTGGGAGTGTCCAAGGCCAGGTTGGATGATGCTCCGCTCCCCACTTCCCATCCTGGTTTATGTTGTCAGCAAAGGCTGCACAGGGAAACCCAGTAAGTCACCCTCAATTCTCATCCGTGTTTTTTGAAGGCAGATGCTGCCAAGGAAAGCAGTATTTTTCATAAGTTTCATAAAATACCTTGGTTTGTGGGGTTTTATGGGGTTTTCCCCTCAGTCAAACCCAGCAGAATCACCACGAGCACGAGGAACTGGATGATCACAGAATCATGGAATGGTTTGGGTTGGTAAGTGCCATTCTGTGGGAACTGATTCCCACCCCACCCCTGGAAGTGTCCAAGGCCAGGTTGGATGGGGCTTGGAGCACCCTGGGCACCTTGGAGCACCATGGCAGAGGGTGGAGCTGGATGGGCTTTAAGGTCCTTCCCACCCAACCCATCCTGTGACTCTGTGCTTTGCTGCTGCTCAGAGCAGTTTGTGTCACTGTCATGGACATAAATGACACACAAACACTGACTCCCTTGCTGACCACCATCAATAAGCCCCAAATCCTCCTGGATCTTAAATGTTCCACTTATATTCTTCATTTTTACAGCATTTTAGCCCTGGGTGAGGTGTTGAGGGAGCAGCACCAAGCCAAGCCTCACTGCCAGGCAGGGTGGGCTGCAGCCCCTGGGCACCCTGGAAAGGTGCTGGCAACCACCTGGGGTGAATGGTGCAGGAACCATCCAAGTTGGCATCTCCCAGAGTCCTGCACTCTGAGCTGGTGCCAGATTCAAGGATGACTCAGCCCCCACATGGATTTTTATCAGCTCTAACACACGGCCTGGGCTTCACAGAAACGGCCCCTGGCCAAGGGCCAACAGGCACAACCTCCCCATTTGCTTGGGGTCGGCTGGGAAATGGGGCTTGGAAAATAAAAATAAAGACATGGGGGAGAAACCCTGGAGGAGGGTGGTCTCCTCCTGCAGGCTCACAGCACCCACCAAGGCCCACCCCGGGCCCCCAGAGCCCTGGAGAGGTGCCCAGTCCCAGGGCTGTGTGGTCAGGCTCTAACAGTGAAAACATGGTGGATAAATCCACTTTCTTCATGGAATCCTCATCCCCTAAATCCTCATCCCAGCCTCGCTGCTCCCGGGGGAAATCCCTGCAGTTGGTTTCCCAGGGAGGGGCTCACCCACCCCCCACCCCACAGTGGCACCACTGAGGAGGGCCATCAGTGAGTCACTCATTATTCCAAAGACTGAATAGAAGGGAGGAAATATCAAAATATCAAAAGAAGGTTAAAAAGGTGACTTTATCCCAGAGGGGATAGGCAGCAATGGGGAGTTTTTCCAGCAGCTGAGCTGGGTCATTCATGCTCTCTGAGCACCTGTAATGTTCTGGAGACCAAAAAATGTGTTTTCTAAGGACTGCGCTCCTCTGGTTCAGCAGCTGCAGGAACGTGGAAGAACACAAAACAATTCCACCTTGAAAACACAACCTGGAGAGAAGGGAATTAATTATGCGACCTGGAAAGTTTTTATGGTGGGAATCCCTCTTTCAACACAACTGCCATCCATGAAGTCTCCTCCAAAGCCATCCCTAAAGCCATCCATGAAGGAGGAGTGTGAAGCTCCACGAGCAGCTTGAGGGACACAAATCCAGTGCCCCAGGATGGACCAAAGGTGATGGAACAGCCACAGCCATGACCGGAGCCTCCACTGGCAGCACATGGAGCGATGCCAGGGCTACTGGGGGGCTCGGGGGGCTCTGGGGGCTCCAGGGAGTGAGGCCCAACCTCCAGCTTCCTTTAGACGTGCAAGAAGCAGGTTTTGAAAGAACATCCTCCCACAGAGGGGGTGCAGAGAGTTGCTCAAGGGCAGCAGCGCCATGGCCAGAGCCCGGCAAGCCCGGGATGGGCAGTGGGAGCTGCTGCGGATCCGGGACATGGAGTTGCAGCCCCCCAGGCCTCCGTTGCTGCCAGGGAAAACTGAGAGGTATCAAACTGCCAGGGAAAACTCCGAGGTACCAAACTGCTCTGCAAACGGGGCCCGGGCAGGAGCTTCCCGGCAGCACCACGGGCACGGCTGCTCCAGGGCAATGATCCAGGGTCCGAGGGGTTCAGGGGGTCTGAGGGGGGCACGGCCTGGGATTGCTCAGCAGGGGCTGCCCCAGCAGAAGGAGCAGGTTTAGAGGAAGCCGCGGCGGTTTCGGTGCCGTTGGGGGCAGCAGAGTCAGCGCCGGCCGGGACGGGGAAGCGAAAGCAGCGGCTCCGTCCCACGGCCCTCCTCCTCCCCTGGGCTCTGCCCTCTCCCTCCCCGCACACAGACCCCCGTCCTGCCCCCCCGAGCCTGCCTGGGGGTGAGAAAGGCTTTTCCTGCTCTTGTTCCACACCTCTCCCATCGTCCTGTCCTCCTCGGGGTCACCCGACAGGTCCCCCAGGGCAGACTCCAGTCCCTGCACCCACCGGGATGTCACTCAGTACACGGGGAGCCCCCGAAGCAGCTCCCACCCTCGGCACCCCCCGAGCAGCGACGGGAGTCACTGTGCCACCAAACTCGCTGTGTTTTGCCCCAAACCCCCACCACCAACCACCCCAGGCCGCTGCTTCCCCTTTTCTCTTTATCCTTCCTGTGAGCCGGCACGGAAAGGAGTCAGAACCCCCCGGGGGTGACACCGATCCCGGCTCCCTGCAGGGCCAGAGGCCATTCCCGCTGTGCCAGCCTGGACCTGCGTGCCCCCGGAGCGCCCACCCCCATGGGGGACACCCCGCCCCGGCCCCCCGACCCAGCCCTCATCTACAGCAACGTGGGTGAGTGACATCCCGACCCCGCTGTCCCCCGCCCGCCGCGGTGTCACCTCGGACGGGGGGGATGGAGCCACTGCTGTCCCCGTCCTACCCCGCGGTACCCGATGACCCCTCCGGTGCTGGGGCTGGAAATATCCAGGGGGGCAAAGAACGACGTGTTTGTACTCCCATCCTGCTCCCACTTTCTTCTCCTCTGTCACGTCTGTTCCTCCCTCCCCAGGAGAGCTGCGGGCCCACCTCACCCCCCCCAAGGCGAGCCGAGGGGAAGGAGCTGGGAGATCCCTCTCTCAGCCCAACCAGGAGCCGCTGCCTCCGCCACTGCCCAAAAAGCAGCTCCAGCGAGCAGAGTCCCTCCCGGAGCAGGGACCATCCCACCACTGCCAGGGTGACCCCACACCGTGGGCCGGCAGCGTCCTCTACAGCGTCCCATCCCACCTGCGGCACGAGGAGGGGGCTCCCGGCTCCACCCCCCGTCGGGACAGACCCTCCTGCGGACCCAAGAAGCCCCTGACCAAGTCCCAGAGCCTGGGGGAAGCGGTGGCCTGGAGCAGCCCCCAGGAAGGCCCATCCCCCAGGCTGAGGGAGCTGACGTTCGGGACGGCGGACGGGGAGCTGGGGCAGCTCCTGCCCGGCCCGGCCGGGCTCTGTGGGGTGCTCTTGGGGTGCCAGGCAGGCACCTTGGCCCGGCTCTCGGCTCGGATCCAGGAGGAGGTGGTGGGGCTGGAGGAGCAGCTGCAGCTGCTGGAGGCAGAGCTGGTGGGGAAGCGCTGGGGAGCCCTGAGGATCCTGGAGCCAGAGCCGTGCTGTGAGAGCGGGGACGCCTGGTACTTCAGGGTGGGCTTCACCTTCGGGCAGACCCAGCTGGAGCTGGCAGCCAAGGTAAGGAGGGAGTTGGTAAAATGCCCCTGGGTGGTGCAGAGGGAGATGGCTCCTGCCCCATCATGCAGCAGCTTCCCCTTTCTGCACCTACTTCTGCATTTGCTGAAGGAGACGGTGCTGCTGGCAAGGGTGACAAGGGTGACACTCCCATGGGTGACGCTGCCACGGGCCCAAGGAGAATGGCACTGCTGGGGAACACGTCCTGGCAAGTTGTCCAGAGGGGCCAGTGTATACAAAGGAGAGGCTAGAGCAGGGCTGGCTGCTCTGGAGTGCTGGATGAGACCCATCCAAGCAGCTCTGCAGCTCTCCTGGGGGGCTACTCCATCCCCCCCTCATGTCCCAGTTCTTGCTCAAAGCCATTCTGGCTCTGCCAGTGGGTTCAAAGGGTGGCCCTTAGCTGCTGAGGTGGCCCACCCCATGGCTCTCTCCTGGCACAGCTGGCCATGTCCCTCTGTCCCTGCAGGTCCCCAAGCCGTGCTGCTCCAGCCTGGGGGTGCAGAGCTCCCTGGGGACACACTGCAGCATCCAGCGCCCGCTCGGCCGCTTCACCGACCACCTTCCCTGGAAGCTGCTGCTCCCAGGAAACCCTGGAGAGCAGAGCCAGTCCTCTTCCAGACAGGAGCCTGCCTGTCCTGCCACCCACCCTGTCCTGCAGGTGCTCATTTGTGCCGAGGTTCCCCACCAGACCCTGGCAGACTTCGTGAAGGGATCCCAGGGGTTGCACAGGACCAGCCCTGGGCACTACGAACGCCTGGGCTGCCTCCTGCTCCTGCAGCTGTGCCTGGGGCTGGAGCACCTTCAGGGGCAGAACGGGGGGCAAGGGGACCTCAGCCCTGAGAACCTGCTGCTGGTGCAGTGCCCGTATCCTCCTGGGAGCCAGGAAGGCAAGAAGGAGCCCCTGGGACTGTCCCTCCCCCGGCTGCTCATCAGCAGCTTCTTCAAGGCCAAAGAGAAGCGAAGACCTTGTTCCACCAGCCAAGAGCAGGACTGGACCAAGGGCCTGGCTGCACCCAGCGCCCCAGCAGCAGATGAGCTGAAGCTGGGCAGGCTGATCTATCAGATCCTGCATGTGGACATCTCTCTGGAGGACACCCTGGGGTTCAGAAGCAACAGGCTTCCCGAAATCCCCTCCCTGTCCATCTACTCCGCGGGACTCCGGCGCGTGGCCACGCTGCTCCTCCACAGAGATCCTTCCAGGAGGGTCTCCATCCCCCAGGCCAGGAGAATCCTGCAGGTCCTGCTCTGGGGGCCACGTCAGGAGCTCTTTGCCAGGAGCAGGAAGACCCTCCCACTGCTCCAGAGCTGGGTGGAGGTGAAAAGGGCTCTGCTGCTCCTGAGGTTTGCGGAGAATTCGGCCGGGGCAGGGGGCAGACCTGGCCTTGAGGAGTGGCTGTGCTGCCAGTACTTCCAGGAGGTCACTGAACACACCCTCTACCAAGTCACCCAGGATCTCTATGCTCCCTAAAGCCGAGCTCAAGTTCAGCCCACCCAGAGGTCTCCTCAAGGCCAAGAGCCCAGTGGCCAAATCTGTCCCTGCCCATGGCGGGGGGGGGGGCAAACTAGATGGTCTTTAGGGTTCATTCCAACCCAAACCATTCCATGATTCTGTGAAAGCCACCAGCTCCTGAGGAACCCAGCTTTCACTGGGAAAACTGCAAATCCAAACCCACTTCCCCCACAGCTCATGAATGGGGGAGTTGGGACCAAGCTCACACACGGAGGGGGTGCTTTTACACCCTCACATGATTTTTGGTTGATGCTCTGAGTCTGGTTTATTGGAGCATCTCAGGAAACAGGGCTGGATGGGAGCCCCAAGCACCAATTTAGTGGCTGATTCTCCTGAGTAAAGTTTCTAAGGTTCAGAATTTGCACAAAACCCCCTCAGCCCCCTCCTGTGGCCAGAGGCTTTTGCTGTTTTCAGTAACACTCAAAG